AACAGCTTCAGTACATTCCTCTAAAGTACTAGGGAATTTTTCTAGGTTATTTTTATTTTCGTTACTTAATAATGGTACTTCAATCTCTGACAAATAGTCCTCAATAATTTCCTTATCTATGCCTTTACTTGTATATAAGTTTTGATAAAAGTTAAACATTTCTCTATATATATTTCATTAGTATTATTAATTGTTTCATCGTTAGGGGTCAGAAGTTCTGGTATAACATTCGAGGATTGATGTTGTTTTTCTAAAAAAAATATGCAGTGTTTTTTTTTCTCCTTTCTCAATCACTTTAGCTTTAGATCTTATGTGAGCACCCTTAGATTTTTTAATCGTAGATGCTGTCTAATTCTGCTTCTAGAGATTTTAGCTTTCTGTAATAAAAATCCTCCGATTTACCTGTTTCTATTTCTTCAATTTCATTTTCGATTGACATAATTCTTTTCTTAAGTGTTTTTTAATGAAATTGCGAAAAACTGACCGAAATATCTTTCGCTTTACGTTTAATACACTGCCATTTGTCTGTCGGATTCAGAGAAGTATCTAAGTTATCAATAATATTTTGTATCCCTTTCTTATATTTTTTTTTAATTTTTTAAGTAAGACCCATTTAATTTCCAATATCCAGGACCTCTTTTTTCACTTGACAGTTCAAATTGAAATTTTAAAAACCTATGATCGGACATTCGAGTTCCTTTAGAATGAGCGCCCGGAATTTTCCTAATTCGTAACTTTTTAAAGAATCGACCAAAATCCTCATTAATAAAAAATATAATCAATCCGACTTTTTGGATTATTTTCGGCATCACACCATGTTAGACCACTTAGAAAAGGATGTTTTCTTTTCCAAAAATCAATAAAATTAAAATTGTTCATAATATGTTTTAAGGTATGTACACTTTTATCATTTTCATCGCTTAGTTGACAATTAAATTCACCACAAAGAATAATGTTGTCATTTAGACAGTTTTTAGAGATAAAACTTTTCAAGTTCTTAAAAAAATCAATCCTTTTATTTAAGTTATTTCGAGCATAGATATTTATGATTGAAAATATTTTATCATTTATTTCAACATTTAGTAGATTTTTTCTTCCGTCAATAGTCTGTTTAACATTAATAACATCGATACTTAGGTTTTCCCGAAATAAAATAGTTACACCTTTACTAAAGACAGAATCGCTAAAACAATGAAATGCTTTTCCTTTCCAACCGAGATTATACTTATGTTCATATTTTTTAACAAAATGCGTTTCTTGCAAAAGTATAATATCAACCTTTTTTCAAACAGCCACGAGTATATTTTTTTTCTCTTTTCGTCAGTATTTAAACCTCTTACATTCACTGAAATAAAGTTTAACTTTTCCATAATTAATTCTTTTTAGATAATTCAATATAGATAAGTAAAAAGAACAAAATACATAAACATGTATCAACATACCGCAGATTCTACAGGAAGTCCAAGATCAGTCCGTTCATAGGCGTAGATTCTGTATCCGTCCTGATGTCGACTAAGGAAATTATCCATTCGCAGATTGATCAGGGTCGGATTCGGATTCCGAGGACGCATCACAGCCGGATGCAGAATCGGCCTCTGCTGTATTACGCATTGATTGGATCATCTCGGCTATGTTTTTCTGCTTAGTACTATGCTTCTTTTGTTGTCTAGAACTCTGCTTTGGCTGACTCCATTGGTCACTCTTTTTACGCTTTCGGATTTTTTGGGCCACTTTACCGATGATTTTTCCAAGGAGATTCTGTCAAGGCCAGTCAGAAACTTTGGTGTTTTCTGCACCGGATTTGTCGAGTCCAGATCCCCACTATGGCATGTCAAACGTTGCAATATTCGAAAATCTTGTGATGTATATTCAAAATCTTGTGATGTATGTTCGAAATCTTGTGATGTATATTCAAAATCTTGTGATGTATGTTCGAAATCTTGTGATGTATATTCAAAATCTTGTGATGTATGTTCAAAATCTTGTGATGTATATTCAATATCTTGTGATGTATATTCTAAAACTTGTGATGTATATTTTATAATCTTGTGATGTATGTTCGAAATCTTGTGATGTATATTCTATAATCTTGTGATGTATATTCAATATCTTGTGATGTATGTTCAAAATCTTGTGATGTATGTTCAATATCTTGTGATGTATATTCGAAATCTTGTGATGTATATTCTATAATCTTGTGATGTATGTTCGAAATCTTGTGATGTATATTCGAAATCTTGTTATGTATATTCTATAATCTTGTGATGTATATTCGAAATCTTGTGATGTATGTTCGATAATCTTGTGATGTATATTCGAAATCTTGTGATGTATGTTCGATTATCTTGTGATGTAGATTCGAAATCTTGTGATGTATGTTCGATAATCTTGTGATGTATATTCGAAATCTTGTGATGTGTTTTCTATAATTCAGTGATGCGTGCAATAAAATTGCATGACGCAACAGAAAAGTAAGGACAATTTTCATTGGTTAGAAATAACGAAAGTAGCTTAAGCGTCGGGAAAACCATGCAGGTGAGAAAAAACACATCAGTTTGTTTATTGCAGCACTAATAACGAGATGCACGAGTGTTGTTCCTGGTGACATGATGGAGATATTTCGGCCTGCTAGGGAAAAAACTCAGTAAACGTAGATATATTGACAAAATTTGTAGGTACTTGTAACGATATGTCACGATGCTGCATTGTCAGATACAGTATTTATACATGCATGCTAAAAAGTTAAATCTCGTAGTAATCAATATAGCAGAAGAATTATGAAGAGTACATACTACAAAAACTGTGCAATTTGTAGCAAGATTAATTTTTGTTTAACAGCTGTTTTTATTACATTTTATTTCGTATTATTAGTACCAAATACTGTTACCGTTTGTTAATGTTATGCACATGGTTATCTTGTACTTGCAAGTAAATGTAACATTTAAAAAAAAAATAATGAAAAAATAAGTCATTTAGGCTATTTGATAATAACATGCTAAATGAACATGTTTTGCTTTTTAATTCTCCTTCACTCAGTCTTTGTATAATGTATATTTTTAGACGAGCTGATCGCCAACCAGGAGATCAGAATGATAGCATCTGCTCCTGCCACTTTAAGGATGGTAAGAAGGAGGAGGACCCTGCATATTTTGCATGGAATGAAGGAAAGGCCATGGATTTCTCTGATCCTGAATGTACAAAAAGGTGAAATTATTTTTCAAAATATGACCGACATCTTGTTTTTGGATGGTGGGTGGGTGGAGTTTAATTGAGAATATTTTACTAAAAATCTTTAAAAGGGTACATGTATAAACAGAGTAGCTTACAACTGAATAAAAAAATAATTCAAGTTTAATTATTTTACAAAGGAGGAAAAAACTCAAAAGTGAGGAGTCCCTGTCATCTTCACAGATGGACCAGTTGCAGATTCCACAAGCACCAAAATGTCAATATCAAGAAAAAGTAAAGCTCATTTAAAACACCATTGATGACAAATGACCAACACTGAAACATTTTCAATAATTTTTAATAATATATAAAGTTCTTTAAACTGTACATGATTTACAATATATTTTCAGTTGATATCAGAGCACAACTACTCAGCATCCTGCACATTTAACTGTACTCAAGAAATGCAGCGCCTCTCAACAGAAATACAACTGGAAAAGGAATTGCTTGCCCTAAAAATAGAGTCTAGTAAAAGGAAGCCAATATCAATCCACGATAGGCCATAATAAAAAAATTGCTAGATTCTCATCCGAATTTTTTTAAAAATCGAGGCGGGCGGGCGGCTTTTATTTTATATTTTTTATTTTTTCAATTTTGAAGATTTTTTATTGACCCGGTCAATCGGTGTAATTTTATCTACAATACCCGAATAAAAGTCATAGTAAAGGTTGAATTATCTCTTACTTCACATCATCACCAATCTTTTTCATCAAATGACCCTTTTTAAAAATATATACGCATGTATTACAACCATTTTTCAGCTGTCAAAAGCATGTCGACTTTCGCGGGATTTAAAACGAAAGTACAATGGCAGATGAATACCGATCCCGACCAGAAATAACCCTAAAAAAAACAGAAATAAAAAAAATCGAATCGGGGGTATAAAATCGGGGCGGGCGGGGATGAGATTTTAGGAGTATTTTTATTATGGCCATATTAAATACAACGAAGAGAAGGTACATTTAAAGGAATTCCAATTGTGATTTCCTATTTCCTAACAATTTCAGTTACTGTAATAAAAACTTGTTGCCATTGAGGGATGAACATCTTAGATTGACTGTTATGTTAACATATTTTGTTATTATTTGAGAGTGTTAGGTCTCTGATCAGCAGGGGCATTTTCTCTATATAAGAAGAAAATGGAGACTCCCTACCCACCCGATGTATTTTGTCGGACAGTTTTCTGTACAATGCAGGTAAATTTTTTATTTATTAACTTTCCAGCCTCTTATTGTATAGTACATTTTGGGGTTTGAAGTCAGTTTTTGCTTTTCTTTAATTTTTAAAAAAAATTATTTAAATTCTCCTTTTCTTAGAATAAAATTCAAAAAGTAGCTTCTGATTGTAATGTATAAGACTACAGACATTGAACTTTGATTTGTTATCAAAAGGATTGATTTAAACTTGTCTAAATTAATTGTAAACAAAAATAAAAGGGGGCACCTGCTATTTCTTTAAGTGTTTTTCACTGGGGGGTGGGGAAACTTTTTTGTACATACTTAAGCAATAGGAGGGTTTAGATAAGAATCAATTAGTATGTCAGAGTCTTAAATAATATACTTTGCATAAGCATAAAAAAATTCTATATCAGTCTTTTTAAAACCTTTGAATTTTGCTTAATTAACTATGATTTATCCAATTTTGGAGCTTTTTACCTAATTCTGGGTAGAATCCACCCTTATGAAATTATTGACTCAATTTTGACTTAATATCACTTTATTAACATTAAAACACAAAAACAATTCATTGTACAAATATTTTATTTATTACAGTCACCAATATATCCAAATATCATCACCGGCCCAGACGTCATTCACTCCTTTGAATTGTGCTGGTAGCAGTAAGGTGTCATCATTTGAGATGGTCACAGTATCCAATACACTGAAGTCACAGGACTCAAATTTCATACATGTTCACAGGTAGGTGTATAGTCTTTGAAATTACCACAATTGACTAATTCTGGGACAGGTAAGTATGTAAGTATAGGAATGAGAGCACCAAATCCCCGGATGCACACATGGCTTTGTTTGTTATATGGAACATTAAACCGAATACTAAATGGGTAGGCGTTACGCCATTGGCTGAAATCAGGTATTTAATTGTTTTCATTTTAAAGTAAAATTAATGACCTTTGAAATAAATGATGGGATGAGGGAATATTACAGAAACTATAGAAATGCCAGGAAAGATTTTAGGAGTGGGGGTTGATTTTTTATGCCGCGTGTTATTTACTGCGAATCTCTATAAGTTGAAAATAACTGCAATTTTGACCTATAAACGCCATGGGACCATATTTTTTTTTTCAGTATTTTTTGTTAGGACTTAGAACAAAGTTTGAAATGATGCTAAAGATTTTTCTGAAATTGTCATAGTAAAGTACTGAGAGGGCCTAAGGTTTGTATGGAGTTCTATGGGAAAATAATTAGTGGTCTTTTCCCTATACAAGATGCTGTCTGATGGCGTAGTGTAGAATGTAGCGTAGAGTGTTTTCCAAGTCAGCTTAAATGCAAAGGTTTGTTTTAAAATTTATCATAATGACTTGCAAAAATTTAATGCAGTTAAATTTATTGTATTCTTGAAAGATTGACTGTAACACAATTTTTTTTACACAATTACAAATAATCAAATTAATTTTTTTCCAACTTTTTTTCAGGGTCTCTGCCAAAATCTTTTGAGGATTTTTCCTCTGCTAGAGCATCCATGGATGCAATTGAAACAACCCAGGACATCCCAACACATATGGACAATCAGGCCATGGCCTACAGTATGTACAAAAGTTGCCATACTTTTAAAGCAGTAACTTGCGTGCCTCCAAATGGTGCACTTACATTTTGCTCCATGCTGTACCCAGGTTCTACTTCTGATGTAGCTATTGTACGTCACAGCCAAGTTTTACGAAAGTTCAAAGCTGGAGACCTTATTTTGGCGGTCAAAGGTTTCACCATTCATGACCAGTTGCCCCTGGGTGTCTGCTTAATTATAAAAGCTCTTTTATCGACACGAGGCCAGTTTACCAAACAAGAAGCAGCACTGTGTTACAAGATTGCTAAAGCACTTTTTCATGTGGAAAGAGCCAACGAGAGGATAAAGAATTACGAGATTCTCCTTCACATCCCATCTACTTACAGACCAATCTCAACAAAAATATTTCAACTCTGTTCTTGTCTTGTAAACTTGCAAGCTCCACTTTTGAAAGAAATTACTTAAAGATACATGTACTTATTATAAATTTGCATTGGCGTGTGACAGTATACACTAAACAGTAAAGATATTCATACCAAAGTGCAAGGGATAAGCAAATTTTTATTTGTTATCAATGTCAATGGTTATATTTGTTAACTTTGTAGTATGTTGTAATACATGTACTTCAGAAAATGAAAATCCCTTTTGTTAGCATGGATTTATTACAAGAATGTTTGGCAATTTCATTCTTCATTTGACAATATAATTTGGAAGAGGGTTTACTTATAATTTTAAATCTCTAGTTTCAAGTATATTTAACTTTAAAGCACAACTCAACAAATTCATGTTTTCAACAATTTATCTATTAAGAAAGACAAAAATGTTACATTTTCACTTTGAGAATAACATCTTCAATTCATTAATAAAATGATTCTAAATTTTGATATTCTTTTTTTATGTAGTACATAGATTTTATTAATCATCATTGTTATTTAAAATAGTCTTATAAGCCAGAAGTTTTATGATGGATTGTGACATATCATATCATACATTTATAAGACTTAGGAACATTCAACACATCTAACATGATTACCCATTTTCCATTGTTAGAAAATTCTAGAGGTACAAAACTAAGTGTCAAGAAGTTCAAACCAGAACTCAGTTTTCCATCAGTGCTGGAATGAAAATGTTAATGTAGAAATCTATCAGCTTTGGAACATTTGCTGTCCATTCAATGTCTTTTACTATTCTAATCACAATGCAGTCTACTCTTGTCCACACAATTAAGTCGCAGAATGTTTTGTTACATATGTGTAGCTGGCCTTGAATTTGATGATAGTATGGGTGACTGGTTTTCAGGCACAGGGTATCTTGTTTAAGATCTAAAAAAAATCAAAAAACACTTAAGTTGTGTTATACCAGTACATATCCCCTCCTTTTTCAATATCTTCATACCATATTGAACAGCTGCACTTGTAAATTAATGCATGTTTTGAAATCATTTACTCACCAAGATTTTTAATTTCAAAGTACTGGACAATACAGATTTTTAATGTTATTTACCTATGAAAAATCCTTCAAATTTTGTGCCTCATCTGCTACTGTTGAAGACGATGCTGTATATGGACACTTCACCTCTACAATATCAGGAATGGCGTCTTTGGCTTCTGGAGTTTGATAAAATACACTGCATGTTGGTGGTCGAACAGCTAAGCCATCAGGTGAAGCTCCCAACACTCCGGATTCATGCAACCATATCCTTTTCAGAAAAAATTATAATACTACTGAATGCAAACAAACCATAATACAATTGATTTTGTAATGCAAACAAAGTCTAAGTAGAGCTTTTATAATCCTTCCACTTCAAAAAGCAAATTTTCTGGAATATGTTGGTAATTGAATGTTTATGCCCCCCCATGAATATGGCTCGGGCATATAGTGTTTGTCATGTCCGTCCTTCCGTCTTTCCGTCCTTCTGTCCTTCCGTCCCACTTTGTGTTTAGCTCTGTTCAAAGCTAAGTTTCAAAGAAACTATCCAAGATATTTTCATCAAACTTCATATGCTGATAGATATTGATGAGAGCTATGCAACTGCATCAACATTTTTTGACCTTGACCTTTTCTTTGACCTTGACCTGACTTTTCTTAAATAGTGTTTAGCTCAGTTTTAAACATAACATTCAAGATGGTGTTATCAACCTTTACATGTTGATACAAACTTGCATAGATGATGCATCTAGAGATGAACACTACCGGACTTGCTTCGGATGCTGGATCTGACCTACATTTTCCAGATGAGTGACCAAATTAAAGTTTTTGGAGCAGGTCCATTCTTAAGGAACTATAAGCCCTACTTAGACCAAACTTGCTTGGATGATGCATCTAAGGATGGACACTACCAGACTTGCTTCGGATGCTGGATCTGACCTACATTTTCCAGATGAGTGACCAGGTTGAAGTTTTTGGAGCAGATTTATTCCTAAGGAACTATTAGCCCTACTTAGACCAAACTTGCATGGATGATGCATCTAGGAATGGACACTACCAGACTTGCTTCGGATGCTGGATCTGACCTACATTTTCATTCCCAAGTAACTATAAGCCCTACCTGAACCAAACTTGCATGGATGATGCAGCTAGGGATGGACACTACCAGACTTGATTCGGATGCTGGATCTGATCTATATTTTCATTCCCAAGTATCTATAAGCCCTGCCTGAACCAAACTTGCATGGATGATGCATCTAGGGATGGACACTACCAGACTTGCATTGGATGCTGGATCTGACCTATATTTTAATTCCCAAGTAACTATAAACCCTACCTGAACCAAACTTGCATGGATGATGCATCTAGGGATGGACACTATCAGACTTGCTTTGGATGCTGGACCTACATTTTTATTCCCAACTAACTATAAGCCCTGCCTGAACCAAACTGATCAAATTTTATACATGTACAAATTTCATGTTGCTTTACTAATATATCCTCGGCGGGGCATTCATGTCCTATGGACATATTTCTAGTTTTTTTTTTACAATTAGACTTCAGTAATTCATTTCTGTTTGTCACCAGGATAAGTCCTGTTATTTGTTTTGACACATTGAATGTTAACATGTCAGAGGTTGAAGGAATGTTATTTTGTGCGGTATACCTGACTGCTCTACAGCTGCATCAAAGTCTTTTTCATACTTTCTCAAAGCATCATCTTCCTGAGTGATACCCCATGCAACAGCTTTGACGGACTCCAGATTGTAAGCCGACATCAGCTGTTTCTTCAGTGACAATGTCAATCTGGAGAAGATAATATGATTTTTGGTTATTAATCTTATATTTCCTGCATCTTTATGTACAAATATCTAGTCATTACAGTCGAACCTCATTATCTCAAACTCAATGAGACCAAGAAAAATGTTGGAAATATCCGTGGATTCAAGAATAATACATAAAGAGTTATCAAGATTAAAATGTCCCAGTCTTTTATAAATGGTTTGGACTTCAAAATTACTTTGACATATCCATGAAATATGAGATAATGGGTTTGAGATAACAAAGTTTGACTGTAATTTTAAAAGTCTTTTTCGCAAAAATTTAATCACACGTCTTACCGCCTTTGCTTAGAACTGAGAACTACACCAAAGTTGGAACCTGATATGCTATATTTCCTTACAATCGACCACATTGGGTTGTTTCGTTGCCAATGCAGCTCTTTTAATGGATTCAGGGATAATGCATGCTGTAACCATACCATAGGGGTATCAGAATGAACATACTCTGGTGATGTTAACAGGTCTTTAATGAGAGGTACAGGTGGACCAGGTTCACATGGCTCTAGTTCAAGAATCCAATTCAATGCTGAAAAATTTCATTACTTGTGTCATTCTCAAAAATATCATCCATAATACCCATATCACATATACCAAGTATTTATATAAGAGTCCATACATTTCATTTTAGTGAACACTGTCATGGGTTTTTGTAATGTATGCATTACATATCAAATTTACAACTCGCTTGCATATATTTGTTCAGAATTGTTCCTGTATATCATTTTGCACGTGGCATTCTTAGTGTGAAAATGCCATGTAAAAATTGGTGCAAATGTACAATTAATATTTACTTAATTATTAACAAGGTTTCATAATCACAGAGTATTTAAATAATAGAAGAATGATCTGATAATTCGCAAGAATATGAAACAAAATATTTTTTTTAATGCAATTGAATAATTTATTTTTCCTTTCAAAAATGTATGCCCATGTACAAAAATGCTATCATATTTATAATATTGTCTTTCCAATTATTCAAAGGTTGTTATTAATATTTATTACATAGTATGTTCAAAAATTGGGCAATATACATAGCCAACTATATTATACTCCTCATCTTTGCACATTTGTTCACAATTAAAATTAACCATCGTTCAGTAACAAAATAACAGTTTCATAATACTCGTAATATAAAAATCAAATCAAACTTAAATAACAACAATAGTAACACCAAAATCATAACTTCCTTCTTATATTTTACCAATAAACCTTCCAAGGTGCAAAAAACACCGGTCACTTTCATCAAAGGGTCGGTTTAAAACACTTCAAATATGAAGCAAATTTTTTAACAACTGATTTATTTATATTTAATGATTGATCATTTTTTTAAAAAAAAATTTGCTTTTCTTGAGAAGGTTATTTTTAAAGAATTTTCCTATATATTTCTATATAAGATTTGATCATCCCTTGTGGCCCCGTCCTACCCCAGGGGGACATGATTTGAACAAACTTGAATCTACACTACCTAAGGATGCTTCCATATAAATATGATCAATCAGGGTTTTGCTGTTCTTAAGAAGAAGGTTTTTAAAGATTTTTCCTTTATATTTCTATGTAAAACTTTGATCTTCCATTGTGGCCCCACTCCACCCCGGAGGTTATGATTTAAACAAACTTGAATCGACACTACCTGAGGATGCTTCCATATAAATAGGATCAATTATGGCTTTGTCATTCTTGAGAAGAAGATTTTTAAAGAATTTTCCTATATATTTCTATGTTAAACTTTGGTCAGCCATTGTGGCCCCGCCCTACCCCCGGGGGTCATGATTTGAACAAATTTAAATCTACACTACCTGAGGATGTTTCTCCGTAAGTTTCATTTTTCCTGGCACAGTGGTTCTTGAGAACAAGATTTTCAAAACATACCATCAAATTTTCATTTATTCCCAATTATCTCCCCTTGAATGAGGATGTGGCCCTTTATTTGAACAAACTTGAATCCCCTTCACCCAAGGATGCTTTGTGGCAAGTTTGGTTGAAATTGGTCCATGGGTTCTAGAGAAGAAATCGAAAATATGAAAAGTTTACAGACAGACAGATGGACAGACAGACAGCTAGACAAACAGCTAGATAGACAAAATGTGATCAGAAAAGAGCTCGAAATGAAACATTCCTCACCACAAAAGCCAGAAGAATATAGGGACCACCACCAGTAACATGTTTCTGGGAAGAACCAAACCATGCAGAGATAAATATCAATAGTCCTGAATCTTCAATGCAGGACCAAGTACGAGAATTGCTACAAACACTACTCCGGAGACTTACCTATTATCCTATGATGTAACGTACTTTGTCCACTGCAGCTGGTTCCCTCATAAGCTTGTAGCGAGGACAGTTCAGGATGTCCTGTCAACTTTATTCTTCAACTTCCTGTCTTGGACTGAAAAGCAATAAGTGGAAATCTTTAGTGTTACCTAGTGACTTTGAATTAAAAAGAAAGTTGCAAGATTGTGAAGGGGGGGGGGGGTACTGATGCTGTGCATTTTAATTAAATGTACGAAATCTGTATTTCACAGTTTAATGCATTCATGTATTTTGTGAATTGTCTTAGGATTCATATAATAATTGTTGCTATGTATTATTAAGCACTAAATCTATTCAACTGCATGTGTAAATGGGGAAAATGTGGATATGTAAATGATGTATAATTGCAATGTGTAAAATGTGACATTTTCTTATATGAGGGAGTCTGTTCATGTAATTTTTTTTTCATTAATTATTTTATTTATCTTGATAAATTATTTCAATTAACAATATTGTTTTTCTTACCAGTCTGATGAACTCAACAAAGGTTACAGAGGTGAATGGTGAATGGTAGAAATATGGGTATTACAGGTGTCAAAACTCTTCGTTGATGACCAGACTGCATGCCGCACTGTAAAATCACCATTTTGGATCTTTAAAAGGGGAAGCTACTCCTGAAATCAAAGAAATTGTCATAAAAATGAGTAACCTGATTTTCTTTAGGTCTCACACAAGGAAATAATTTCACTATATGTTACTATATAGCTTTAATTAAATAAATTAATTAACTAGACTCTCGGCAGATAATTCATGAATGACAAAAAAGATTAATGCTTAGACAAAATTTGAGATCAGAAAAAAATATACCCCTTATGCGGCTTTTAAGAAAGAAAATTGAGACTAAACATACCTATACCCTGGCACAATTCTGCTGATATGATATTCCTAGTGTATGAGTCCAAAATTAAAACTGTAGACCTACGTAAAGTTCCTGAAAATGAAAAAAGAAAAGAAATATTATTGTCTCTATATACATCATACATAGAACTACATTTGTTCATTTTAATTAGCTATCTCCTTGCATAAGACCTTTAAGGGTAATTTTATGCTATTTACCATGTGCACTGATTGCCATAAAACTAAAGAAAAAATAGCAGCCTTACAAAGTCACTTAACCATGACCTTTGACATACCTTACTAAGAATACCCTGGACAATTTGGTTTAACTTAAGACTTCTGAATTTTTAAATGCAGGTTTTGATAAATCAACCATTTAATATACTTATGAGCTCATAAAACTGTTCTTTAAAACTGTATGATAAAGAGTGTAAAAACTTTGAAACATGTTTGGAAAGTATTATCACACATGTGATATGGGATAAATTATCACCACAGAAAGATCAAAGAAAATCACTGCAGATATGCGACAATAATTCTTATCATTGTTTATTGTATGTCAAGTCTAGAATATGATATATCATTACAAATATTATGATTTTTAGCCGGGCACATTGCTCGTAGAGCAATGCTCAGCTATTGCGACGGTGAGCAACAGAAAATGCTGCTTCTTCACCGCCAAATTGAGTTTACGAGTAAAAGTATGGTACGTGCACCAGCCGCTGTTGAGAAAACAAAATCCATTCAACACCTTAAGAAATAGTAAATTGAATATTTTTATCATAATATTAAATTGTTTAATATTTTTTCCTGGCTCCTTTGACTAATATTTTACAAAGTATAATTCAACGGGTGCGAAAGGTTTTCACCAGGTATCCCTGTCTGCATCATATTCTATAAACAATATAATTAAAATTAGATGTTAGATCCGCTCGCATACTCGCCACACTAACATCTAACAAGTCATCCCATTGAGGGTCACGTAAGAGGTTAAATTCGGAACGCCTCAAGATTTATTCGCTTCAACAATATATGATGATTTTGCCAGCTGCGATTTGATTAATTGATAGAATTTGACCTCTGACGTGACCCTCAAAGGGATGTTGTTAGATGTTAGTGTAGCGAGTATGCAAGCGGATCTAACATCTAATTTGAATTAGATTGATTCTATAAATAAAGGTTGTACTATCAGGCTAACACAAATGCAGGGAACATCATTATTGACTTGATGCAAATCTCCCCGCTGAGGACACATCAGTGCAGCGACGTTTGACCTTCATCTTGCTGCATCGGTTTTTATTTACTTCTGTTTGTATATAAAACCGGATTACCCTGAAACGATACGTGATAAATATTTTTCGCTGTTAATTTCTGGGTATATTTTATTTTATTTTTAAAACTATTTGATATTATACATGCCATTGAGATATTTTTGTGTGTATTACATATTCTCTAAACGTCTGAACGTGATTTTAAACTGTCACCACAGTCCTTGTTCATTATCCTGTAAATGAGCCCGGCTCAATACATTTACTATAGCCTAAAAATAATTGGACAAATTTGTGAATGACAATATTCAATGATGCATAGCAATTAATCTTTTCCTGACATTCACCTTCTCCTAAAAATTTGTCGTGTTATTTATTTATTTATTGCAAAGTCGTCCCTGGACTAGTGCTACGGTCAATGCAGCTGCAATGAGCCATGCAATTTCGAACCCTGCGTGGTGAGAGTTTGTCCCGAGACACAGTTAGATTATTCTAACTAGCACCAATATAGAATAAATCATACCGATTAATCAACATCACTACAATATGAGGACGTAAAAATAGGATAAAACATCCTTTAGTCCAGCAATATTTAGGAATTATGGTTAGAACGGTACCTAGTGAAAATGGCACCTGGTGAAAACGGCACCTGGAATATGCAAAACGGCACTTGGTTAAAACGGCACTTAGTGAAAACGGCACTTGGTTAAAACGGCACTTAGAGGAAAAAGTATATAATTGTGTTATGATATATATTTGACATAAGTTCTTTTTTAATTCAAATTTAATTTATTGACTTGAGAATTTTTTGTGGCTTCAATTTTGCTTTATTTTCAATCTATTTTTAAAGGTAGTATTTATAAGCTATAACACACCAGTATGTGGGATTAAGAATAATTATATTTGAGTGTAGTGTTGATTATATGAAAAAGAAATGGTGAAAATGATTTTTAAAAAAAAAATATATTTACAGTAAGAGTCACTTTATCTCACATTTCTATCTAATTCTGTAGCAATTATTTAACAATATCAACATTGTATCCTCTTAATTATAAAAAAAAAACAAATGTTTTGTTCTTCTATGTATATATTTATTATATTGTTAAATGTTTTATGGCTATTCATATTTTATGTACAGTTGGGAGAGGATTATCTAAGTTTTTCTAACTTGTATTTAATTCATTTGACATTTTGTCGAGAAATACACAATAGTAGCTGCATATGATTGCAAATTGACGATCAACAGATTATTGAAGGGGAGGTGTGAAATGGTCTTTTGTTTCCTATTCCTACAAGTGTATTCTAAGTAAACATACTCTAATTGGCTTCTAATTAGTCACCTGTGACTGGCAACCCCCAAAACAGAGTAGTATACATATTTGCAACACTATAATTTTTTTAATTTCAAAGGATCATATATGTAATAATATAATTGGAATTTGATCTCTTTTGTAGAAAATAATAGAAAAATAATTTTAAATAGAAATACATTTAAAAAATCTAACCACTGTACAAAAGTACAATAACTTTCAAATAAATCAGTTTAATTTTATTCCTAAAATATTTTTTAAAAGTTTATCAACAATAATAAACACATTTACTACTATATATGTAATAATATAAGATCCATTTTCTGTATAAACAAAATCAAATTCTCAAAATAAAAAAGTGCCGTTTTGACTTTTCTAAAGTGCCGTTTTGACTACTCTCAAGTGCCGTTTTGCATAATTCCTAAGTGCCGTTTTCACCAGGTGCCGTTTTGACTTGTACCCATATTGAGCCACTAAATTGTTTTTGATGTACCTTCAAACAAATCAAATTAATGTTCTTGATTCCCACTTTTCACGTTATGACTGACTTAGTGCTTCTTGATACCAAAACAATTTTTCTATTACCTATAATTTTGACTTTAGGTTGAATTCGCCAATTTCATGCTTGCGAAGTTGTGTCAACGTGTGCATTACGACCGCTTCGGCTACTTTCGTTATTTCTAACCAATGAAAATTGTCCTTACTTTTCTGTTGCGTCATGCAATTTTATTGCACGCATCACTGAATTGTAGAACACACATCACAAGATTTCGAATATACATCACAAGATTATCGAACATACATCACAAGATTTTGAATATACATCACAAGATTTCGAACATACATCACAAGATTTTGAATATACATCACAAGATTTTGAATATACATCACAAGATTTCGAACATACATCACAAGATTTTGAATATACATCACAAGATTATCAAATATTGCAACGTTTGACATGCCATACCCCACTTGTCGTTGAACGTGGATTCGGCAAATACTGTGTTTTTCTTTACGGCTCTCAGCTTCTCTTTGAACAACTGAACTTAAGAGCATTTGTTTTCTAAGATTTCTGTCATAACAGATTCACATGATTCGTTCCATTGATTGTTTACTTTTAAGTTATCGCCAAAACGTTTGGCGGACAGGGCATCTGTTGCTCCTTGGATTACTGTAAATCACTTTTTATTCGCGAGAACTTTATTTTCGCGTAATTACGCGAGATGATATGCTCGCGAAAATTTCATTCTCGCGTATAATAGATTCCCTGCGGATTATATAGAGCAATGACCACAATTCGTGAAAATTTTGTCTCGCTAATAAAGAGTCAATGACTATGTCGCGAAAATAAGGTGTCGCGAAAATTAAGTGATCTACAGTATTAATATTTTAATTTTAGCGATCAACATATTTTTTAGAGAAATTAATTTAACTTATAAAAAATAAATAAAACTCGATTTCTCTCAAATACTTCAGTATTGAAAAATCAAGGAAAACTCATTTTGTATAGACAAAACATCAATGAATAAGATTACACCAAAAAATTGAATTGAAATCAGATCTACAAATGCAGAAAAAATATTTTCAAAATCATCGGTATCAATGTTCCTTTTTGGAGTTATCTTTCCTGTTGCCCGGGACTCAAAAACTTTGGCAAGTCTCCGCAATATTTACCGACTTCTGAACTAGACAGAAATACATGTAAAAGAGGAAAACTAGAAACGCACACATTTTATTAATATTATTTATATAGAGGAAAATAAAACAAATATGATTTTATACACGTTTATTTTAATATATTGGCGATTGTTGGTCGTGGCATATTTTAAAGCAGCAAGGGGGTACCAAGCAGGGCAACCCCAAATAATTACAACAATCAACAACAGCAATCAACATGATAGCAAAATATTACATGTACATGTACTTATAATAAGCATAAAAATGGCCGTTCCGGGTATACCGCAAACGGTAATTAACCTTACAATTAAATTTTATGTACAGTGTACATGTATTTTAAATAAACTTTACAAGTTTACATGTATGTAGTTATCGTTCCGGGTTATCAAACCGCGAACGTTACTAAAGATATTTCAGCAAGCAAAGCACTGTCCATGAAATTTGTTGGAAGCAGTACACATTTTGCACAGCAATTGAGTTTGTTTCAATCAAGCAAAGTAGACCAATTCATGAATTTGTTGAAAGCAGCACACATTTTCACAGTTAATGAGTTTGTTTTCAGCAACAGCAGCACAATGAATTATAGCATCAGTTGAATGGCTCGGCGCAAACGCCACATGGCCGAAACCTTTGGAATCCACAGGTTTCGGTCACCCCGCAAAATGGGGAAGCCGCATTCAACTGACCCAAGACCAATCGCCCTAAATTTCCTATTTACTTGGGAAACTGAAATAGACCCCCTGAAAATAACTCTAGACCCCCATACTTCCCAAGTTGATTAAGTCTGTTTAATAAATAGACTGAAAATATGCTACATGTATTTGCATCATGTTTATATCAAACTAAAACATAAAGAATTACATGTAATAAAATTTTAAGAAGCATTTTTACGGAGACAAAATATTGCCCCATCATAAAAATGGCTGATCCTGATCTACCCTTCACAATTCAACCCTAGCATGTATGGATTTATTTTGGCTGGTTTACACAATAGTTCTAGAAAACCTATTTAACTTACCGTGTAAGGTTATCTATGGAAGTTAATCATGTTAATTGTAATATAAGGTAAGCTTTATATCTGAAAATTGACTCTTAGTCTCCAGGCTTTTAGTACTCACATGTATTACATGTAACACACGGTGTTAAAGCAGTAACGTTTTACTCCAAACTATGGAACTTGAAATTATGTTTGATAATAATACTTCATATGCTATCTTTCTAATGTTCATAATTAAAACAGATAATGAACTTTCTTTTTGGACATCGGTTCTTAACTTTATTCTAATTAATGCTTTTCACCAAACTTATTTGTATGAGCTGTGAGCCTATACCTCATAAACTGGATGTTAACAGATTCCTTATTAAATGTACTAAGAATATGGAACTTTTTAAAGTTCATTCCAAGGAAAATTACAGATATATAGAGGATATCTATATTGTGTGATTTGATATTGGCTTTATCCAACGAGTTGAAATGGTGTATATATTCGCGAGGCTTGCCGAGCGAATATACACCATTTCAACGAGTTGGATAAAGCCAATATCAAATCACACAATTATAGATGTTCTATTTATCTCATACGACTTTCGTTTTAACAAAACTTTGAGACTTCCCCTGCGAAACTACATGAATGACTGCCAAAATCAAATTGATGACGTATAACTTGATGACGTAGCACCGTTGATGTTTACATGCGTCGAGAGAAAGTAGATCTAGCTCAAAATTTAGAATATTTGCTATCTGTGTCTTTGAAAACATCATATGAAAATTGCTGGAGCTTTACATCAAACGCACTTCTGACTGAAAGTTGTTAGGACTATGGGGATCGTGAAAATCAACTCTTTTTACGATGGCAGTACAAATCGTGCTAGGCAAGGCTAGGGGCCTAGACTTTGTCTAGATTGTTT